GAGCATAGAGATAAACATCTACACACTATTCAAAAGAGACAATAGAAAGGAAAACAAAAGACCAGAACATCTCCTCACCAGCAATCACCACCCAGATAAGCAGAGATTAACATCAAGGCCACAATATATAAACAGAGAGCAAACCCCATCCCATTCTAGCACTGAAGATGTTACCTAGCCGGGTAATGAAACGTTTGCAAGAAAATAGCCACAATATATAAACAGAGAGCAAACCCCATCCCATTCTAGCACTGAAGATGTTACCTAGCCGGGTAATGAAACGTTTGCAAGAAAATAGCCACAATATATAAACAGAGAGCAAACCCCATCCCATTCTAGCACTGAAGATGTTACCTAGCCGGGTAATGAAACGTTTGCAAGAAAATAGCCAAGCTCAGAGAACTCCAAGGACTCCATAGCACTAATATATTGGCCAATATGAGAGTTGTCAAACTAAACAAGCTATTTTTTTCACATCGGTAACTGGTTAGCCTACATGCCTGTTAAAAAATAAAGTCTCTAGCTTTGGGCTTGAATTATTATGTGATCATTTCTCTACTTCAGAAAAATTATTCCCCGCTTCATTGACAAACAGCATATAAATCTGCTACATGCATAGCACACTTCTGTAATAGGCCTGTCTGTAATAGTATCTGTCTTGATATGTTTGCATGCAGAATGCATGGTAACACAGTAGTTTGAAGATACTGTAGAATGATATATCTGAATATTCTCCCAGTGAAAAGCTGATAAAGCAATTCACTAATATCAGAATGGCAACTTTAACTCTAATTTAGAATGTTACTTTATTCCAAGATAGAAGTTTTTAAAAACAGGGGCACCCTTGAGAAATATTATGTTCACTCTTTCACTCAGAAATATACAGCCTGCTATTTTGCTGTGGACACCAACTTCTCCCAAAATCCAATTTGGCAGCAATTCTAGGAACTGTTTTCCCAACTAATCCTCTCTAAATCCTTATATAACTAAAACACCACCATTCATTTACACAGGAAGAAGAATCAGGTGACTTAAGAAAACTCCAAGTTTTGCCAAGAGAGAGGAAAACAGGTAGAGGAGCAGAATTAATGGAAGGAAAACAAAACATTGTGTAATTTGCTGCATAATTTATCATATTTGTATGTTGCCAGTTTCATTCAACTCATGGCAGCTTAATGAAGTCCTTGGCCGTCTGTACGGAAAACACAATGAGAGAATATGTAATTGAATGAAATACCCTAGTAATGAAGCTGGCTGGCTACTATCCCAACAGACAGAAACCCTGAGCTTTCTAACCATGCATCTGAGGTCCCACGTGATGAACATTTGGACTGAGCAATTTGTGATCCCTGAATGTATCCAGCCCCTGAACTTTTTTCTATAACTCTTAGAGACCCCGCCATCAGCTGTAAATCAATAAGACGCTTTCTGGAAACACTGCAGGGTAACCTAAAATAAGTTTAAGTAAAGATACCTCAAGTCTTGGGCTCCATTTCTTGGCAATGGCATAGAAGCAGTTTGCTGATTGCATTCTTCCAGGTTTCTTATGTTTACTTCCCAGTTAACCCTATAGCTATGAGAATTCCTAGTAGTCTCCTATCCAAATACTAAGGAGGTCCAGCCCTGTTTAGCTTCTGAGCCTAGACAACATTGGTCATCTGCTGAGAGTAAATAAGCTTATTCTATTTTTTTTTTTAAAGGAAGCTATCCTCCCAAAAAAGGGGAAAAATCTCAGCATTGCCACATAGCCCCTGAGTTGCATCCACTCTACCCTAAAAAGACACAGACTTACTGCTAGAAAATCTGATACAAATGCTTCCCAGATGGTAATTCCTGGGCTAAAGCCACTTTAAAAACCTAACATTCTTAGACACAAATTATTATTATTTATTTATTTATTTAATTAATATGGATGGCTCCCCATCTCACCAAGTGACTCTGGGTGGTGCACAAAATTAAAAAAAAACACAATTAAAATAATACAAAAATTAAAATACATAGCAGCCAAGAATAAACCATCCATCATCATCCCGAAATTGACCATTAATTAATTAAGTAATTAACTCAAATGATTGAAGAAACAACAAACAGAAAGCCTAGCTTGGAAATGGGCTCTAAGATCTATGCAACTGGAAAAAAAATGTTTTGAAGGTTCGCATATTTAAAGAAAGGCGTGTGGTGTGTGTGCTTGAAGAACTACAAATAAGTGCCACAAAGTGCTATTTAAATATAGATTCCTAGAGCTGCTGCTTTACTCAATAACCAGCTCACAGCTGCAAAAGACAAGGGACAGGACAGCTGTTCCTTAGTCTGTAATACAGTTACTTCTCAGTTTCCAATGCTACCACTTTGATTTTGGACAAGTGCTCTTTAACAGCCTTGATTCAAAGCTAGCATAGGAAAGTGATGGAATTAAATCCTTGTGATGGAATTCTCTCCTGGGAGAAGTTTCTACAACGTCCAAGGGGCCAAGAATAGTACATTTTAGATAGATAAGCCTGTGATTCTTCTAAAAATCCAGGGTAGATACTTTTGCACAAGGAGTTCCCAGCACTATTAGGCCCATGGAAGATTGTGTCCAACTCTGGATACCGCAGTTCAAAAATGACTAAAAGAACTGGGTATCAAAGTCTAGATTCAAGAAATGTGCAATTTACCCATTTTTTAAAAGGATTTTTTTCCTCCTAATAAAAAAAGGCCACAAGACATTTCCTTTTAGTATAGGTTCCATACTATTTTTACAAGAAGACACCCTTATTTTTATGCACAGTTTGATACATTATTACATGATTAAATGAAAATGTGATACTGTATATTGAGGTGATGTGTATTAATTTAATAACTCTTTTCAGGGAGGGGGTTTTATTTTTTAAATGTGGTTTGCTTTGCTATTTTACAATTTTACAATTTCATGATGAATTTCTGTTTTTCTTTTAAATTAAAAAAAACATTTAAAGCAGTTAGTAATGATATGCTTAGCTTGTTGAAAAGACCATTGGAGGAGATATGATAGTCTTCATCTGAAAGATTTTTGCATAGAAGGGGGTGGACCTATTCTCTATTGCTCCAGAGGGCGAGACTAGAATCAATGGGTTAGAAGTACAAAGAAGGAGGTTCCGGATAGACATCAGAAGGAAATTACAGACTCTACTAGCTGTCAGACAGTGGACCAGGCTGCCACATGAAGTGATGAGTTTTCCAACCACTGGAGACCTTCAAATAAAGGCTGCAGCCAAAGAGGATCTAGTGGATCCTGCACTGAGCAGAAGGTTGGACTAGGTGATCTTCCAACCCTATAATACTATGAAATATATTGTTGTGCATTTATTCCACCTTTTCCTGGCAAGAAAAAATATATGACAAGCAAACACAGGAAGGGTATAAATGAAAGACAACAACTTGGCTCTCCTGTAAAATCCAGTGAATGAAATAGGGTGATTCCATAACTAAAACCATGTCAACAAGCATCCGGTATTTCTCCTTGACCCCCATACATCTGTGCAAATGTTTAGACTCCTTATTTTTATATTTTTAAATGTATATTTTTAGTTTCTTAAATATTAATTTTTAGTCTCTTGAGTCCGGGATCTGGCCTTTTTTCAATGCAGTGTAAAGTACCTTCTGCACCTATGCCACTATGTAAATGACAGGAATTTACTTAGAATAGATGCAGTTTTGCAAATCAATATCCCCCCTCCCCCTGCTTTTCTTCTACTAAACTCACAAACAAGACTTACTCATTATTACTACATTTCAAAGCCACTATTTACTTGATGGTAGAAAACAACCAAAGGTTGCAAAAGTTCCCATCAATAATATCTCTTTGGAAACATGTTGATTAAAATTGGTTAGTTATCTACATCCTCAAGGTCATAATGATGCCAGCATAACAAAAAGGAAACCATGAAAGATATAATGAACCCAATACTACATCCTTTGTTCAAGCCGACTGTCCTAAGAGTTGCTATGAATTCTTTGCAAACCTACAGCTAAAAACAAACTTAGCTGCAATGAGCATCAAAGAAGTCTTCTGTTTGATAGCTGTTTCCTGAGAGAACATAAAATGAAATACCCTTACCCTGTTGTCCTCTTCTATCTCCCAATCGCTGGAGAACATTACAGAGTGCAGCCCTTGACTGCAGTTGGAAAATTGGAAGAGGCTGGAAAACATCCGTCTGTTTTCCTGCGTATCAGGAAATATTGCATCCTGAAAATTTACTCCGTGTGGAAGGAGATTATAATTTTCATCCATTCTGTAAAAGGAGAGGCAGGATCAAGGTTAAAGGCATTATAGATTAGTCTGGGAAGCTGAAAAAATATTCTGGAAGGAGGCAGTGGCAAACCACTTCTATACGAGGGCTGAAAAAAGCTACATGGTTGTGGCCATGAAGTCATCAGGACTTGAACTTAACTTGAGGAAGACTTTTGTAGCTTCCTCAGGTCTCAACAATTGCTGACCCCAGCTGATCAAGAAAAAGTAAGCAAGGTCAGACCTTCTCAATACTGTATTTGGATGGAAGACTGTAGCTAGAATGTCAAGAAGATCACAGAACAAGGCAGCAGCAAGCCAATTCTATATGGTTGCAAATCTCTCTCTCTCTCTCTCCCTCTCCCTGTCTGTCTCTACCTCTATCTAAGTCTGTCTGTCTGTCTGTCTGTCTGTCTGTCTATCTATCTATCTATCTATCTATCTATCTATCTATCTATCTATCT